ATGGTGTGTAGTGTGTAGTATAGATGTAAAGGCAGTCTCAGTGCCATGTATTAATGGATGACTGACTGGTTTAAAACGTCGAGAGTTGGGTTCATTCTCATCAACAGACAGCTTGGCGCTGCTCCGCGCCGATTGAGCAGTTCGGCTAGGCCGATCACGTGTGATCATGAGAGAGGCGACGAGTAGCTCGCCACGCCGGGAACAGGGCTTACAAAGTCGAATCATAATAGAAATATTTTATTTATTGGTGAACTTAAGCAAAATTACATATTTTTACTAGTTAACTGCGGCCCACTCATTTAAATGTGCACACTTTTTTGTGACGAGTATATTCGTCAGTTGAAGCATAAGGAGACGTCCATTAATCACGTGAGCGAGTTTTTAAGGATTTTTAGACCCTCCCCCACCCCCTTGGTGATACATGGTGATATTCAAAATCACCCTCCTCCTTCCCCAACAAACATCACGTGCATTTTTAATTTCGTGATAAAAATGTAAAATTGTTGATTTTTTTGTAAATGTTTGAATTTTAAAAAAAAATGAGTTAAAAAATAAATACACGTGATATCTTATTATACCCCTCCCTTCCCCATGTGATATTTCGTGATTTTTTGTCAAACCCTTCTCCCCCTAAAAACCTCACGTGATTAATGGACGCCCCCTAAGATGCTCAGGCTAGATTGATTGGATGCAAAATATGAGTTCATGTTACAAAATTCAAAATTGTATCACTAATTTTTGCTTATTTGCTTAACATTATAATAATATTTATAAAAAAAATTCAAATTGTGACTATAAGGTAAGATGACCAACTATACTCATTTACTGAGTTTTGTAGTATATTTCCGCAAACTGTTCAAATTCTGTATAAAACTAGTGGGGTGCATGGCATCGTGCCTTAAGGCAAATTGCTGGAACTTCCCGTACCGCAATTAAAAATCTTGGTACGAAACCCCAAAAAAATTACACAAAATGTGTACACATTATTAAAAACTCTATAAAGTATCTGATAATTTGATGTACATATGTCCAAAAAACATTTTTGACCGCCAAATGACATTTTTTCAACTTATTTTTATTGAGAGTCCATAACCGCTGGACCTGCTTTCCTAAAAATTTAATCAGTTCTTCATCTTATCAATACAAGTAAAATGTTTTTTGAATTATTAAAATCGGACCTTCCGTTTTCTTAGAAACTGAGTTACCGTTTTTGGCACTTTTTGCCCCGTATCTTAGGAACGGCTAGGCCTGCCCTCGCCAAAAACTAATCAGCACGTCTCCTTATCAATACGAATAGAATGTTTTTTTGAATTATTCAAATCGATAAATCGGTGTTCCCGAAATTGTCGACGAAAACTTGTATCCGAACACACATACACACACACAGACATACATTCATTTTTTCTAAGGTATGCCAAAATGTTCAGAAACCTCTGAAACGTAAAGATATATAAAAATTTTCATTTTCGATTTTTTTGCGATTACTATAACTTACCCTACGGGAAGTTAACAATATAATTTCTTGTAATTATTCATTTACTGATTTTGTACTCTATTTCCGCAAACCGTACTCTTTTCAAATCTTGCGCTATAAAAGTACTCATTTATATAATTTTATGCAAATAAGTGGACCCCTTGAATAGGAAAATTTAATGGAAAAATTTCTCGAAAGTAAAAAATATTGTTATTTAAGGCTTTTTTTAAGGTATTCTAGGAGTAAAATTATATTTAAATTAAGAAAAATTTAAGAACTTGGCACAAGGTGTGTAAAAATCTTTCAACATTTTAAGCCATTTAATAGTGCATATCCCACATCAAAATTTTACTAGACATTTTCTTAAGTTATCTAAAGAGGATTATTAAAGCTGTAAAAAGTCGTTGTATAAACATTATCAAAATGATTAAATTATTATAAATATATGTATATGCAAGTTGTTTGGATGCAGCTGCATTATCAGAAGAACATTCTCATTTAGCAAAAGAAAGTAAAATAATTAATAAATACATATATTTGGTGCAAAACCAATCGAAAATAGTTCTTTGCAATTACTATTTAAATAGAATAAGCAATCTAATAAATTTACTCTTCATAAGGAAATTTTAACTAATATTTAGTATATTGTTAGATAATAATAATAAACTTAAAAGCGGGCTTTCAAATAAAATGTACTAAAGTGTATTGGCAAGTTTCATTAAAGATTGGCTGGATTGTAAAATGGTAAAATTATTGAAAATTTTATTATTGAAATATTTTGAGTAAAAAAATAAAAACCTAAAAATGACATGTTTTTACTGGTACATTTTACTCACAATTAGTTCAAATACTTATCTCAAAGTGGACCAATTTTAAATATACAGTTCAACACAAAGTCTTCATTTTTGAAAACCGGAGGAAATTGTGATGTTTTTTTCTACTTTGGTTCAAGAAATACATTCTAGAAATATTATTCACGGCTACCAAAATTTAAATGAACAAAATTAATAAAAGTTTACTACATAACCAAAAAAATAGTCATAATTTCACCAAAGCTCTAGGTTGCACTTAAAAGCTCACAATTTTCAAACAAAGTGAGTTAATTTTTTTCTATTTTTTAGAACAGTCAATACTATTACCCTGATCTGAGACACCATATCTATATATGTAGGTACATATAAATGTACATAAATATTTGCTATGGAACGTTGACAAATTTGCTCATTTGCTTACTTGTTTATCAACAATACTTTCGGAAAACTTCAAGCCAATTTGTAAAGGAAACTATTGTCCTACAAAAAGTTTATTATTGGGCGCTGTGTAAATATAAAAACATTCGTGTAACGAGGACATGCTTGGCATACATGAAATAACTTCAAAAAAATTAGCATGCCAAACAACATTGTCAAAGACATCTCTCATATCCGTCATTTCAAATAAAGACATGAACTACTGCCAATACAAGTGAATTATGCAATTGATAATAATCAATGAGTACATATTCTTTTTATAAACCATACGTAAGATTTTATGATTATAGGTAATTGAGATAGTGACGTTAACAATAGGACATTATAGGCGCCAAGAAAGAAAATAATACATATACTCTATCATTATCCTTTCAATCATTTATCGTGACTCCAAAGTTCAGAATGCGAATCAATTATGAATTCAAATGGCTCGTTAAGTCCCATTTGAGCGTTTCACGATAGTTATGCTAAAAATAAATATGTTACCATAGACCAGATAGAGATATATAATTATAATGTGATTTATAATTGTTTACTGTCGGATTGAAAAATGTGTTATTGTCGCATTTTATACGAGTCGCGAATGGCAACATATCAACTCTTTAGGTTTTATGGCCAAGTACTTTTAATCGACATTAATAGATCGTGATTAATATGATTGGAAGGCAACGTGCGGGATTTTCGGACAAGGTTAACTAGGAGAAAAATTCCCTTTGGAAAATACATTGTGAGACAAAGAATTGGAGTGAAAGGCTGAGTAATGCATATAATGTACTTAGGAACGCAAAACAGCAAAAGCATAGTCAATTATAGATAATTTCCGTAAACACGGTACTGCTATAACACGGTTTGAGAATTGAAAATATCCCCCTTATCACTCAAACCGCGTTAAAGTAAAACCGTGCTAAGGAGGACATTTTCTAGAGGGAAAACCTTAGAGTATGTCCCCTTTTGCACGGTTTCACATTAACACGGTTCAAAATTTGAGCTAAGCCCTAATAAAATATAAAATATAATAAGATTGTTAGCTATTACAAGCGATCTTTACATAACTTAAAATTAGTGAAGCACCATAAAAAAGCCCAATAAACGTTATAAAACAAGAGCAAAGGATTCTTCATTTGACATCTTTCATTTGAGAGAGCACGATCTATCAGAAAAAAGCCTAGGCTTACCCAAACTTTTAGTCATATTTCTCTTGAATAAAGATCCTTCAAATGAAATGAGCTCAGAAGAAAACTTCACAATTTATAAAGCAAGCGATCGAAAATAACTTTTAACAAAAAAAATAGATCATGGATCTGAAAGTAATTCAGGAAAAATCGCAGAAGAGGAGGATATTTGGGCAAAAAAATTTCTCGTGGTGAATAAGCAAGGAAGGCTGCATGTAGAGCTTGGTATAATCGCAAAAAGGAAGAACGCAAAAGCAGAGTTGAGTTACAATTCTTGGTTAACTAGTAAGAAAAATAATAAGAAAAAGGTCCGCTTAAAAAATCAATTAAATGAGTCACGATATCTGATCATACAGCAAGAACAAAAAAAAGTTTACGATAAAGAATTAAATAAAGTGACAAATAATAACAACTGGCGTGGGGGCTACCGTGATCAACATAGTTATGAGGACAAAATTATTTCTAATTTTATTTTATACGTATTACTTCTCTATTTCTAATTAACAAACATATTTATCTTTATAGTAAAAATATTATAGCAAGTATTTTACTCCACAACTCCATGCCCTTTGCAAGTCAGTTACATCAAAACAATCTTCAACTACAGATTTGCTTCCTATATTTTGAGCAAGTGCAAACAAAAATTCAAAAATTAAGAAATACCTCTGGAAATAGGGTGAATGATAATAATCATTGCAAGATCCCATATAATAAAATATATAATGAGAATATTTTTTTTAGAAATTACAATGCAATTACACTCTTTTAAAAAATCTGGTATAAGGTACAGAAATATTGCATTAAATCCTGTTCTTGTCCTTTGTTTTATATAACACGGTCGCGTTTGGGAACGTAACTCCCGTGTTATAAGGGGGTTACCTGTACTAAATATGTAGATTTGAATAGTTCATATTTTACACAATATATGATATTCACCAACAAATGTATAACAAGACATCAGTCCTCTCCTAATCAAATCGGTTTGTCTAGATAAAACTGCATCTAGATAAACTGATCCCTGTATATCAACTACCCACAAAAGTCAATACGATATTATGGAGAAAAAATAATAAATATGTCTAGTCAAACCTTTATCTGATCGTCTAATTTGTTCCAGATGGTCCAGGGTCGTCAGCATTATTGGGTGCTCTTACTGCTCCTCGCTCTGGTACGTTATTCTTCCGGAGGTCCTTTGTCACAGGATGCACCAATTTATCAACAGTCAGGTAACTGAAATAAAAGAAACAGTACTTTTAATATATATTTATAAATAGATAAATATCTATACAATAATTATATAATTGACTACATCCATTCATCCAAAAAGTTTTGGATCTTACAATCAGAACCAGAAATGTTTTAAGTCACATTAGAAATTGATATCTCTGCACCAAGGAGTTTACTTTGTTTGAGTCCATGATACAATTTTAGGCAATTAACTTATTTATTTAAGTTATCCATTTATGACAAATTTAGTAAAGAATGCTCAACTTGTTTCGATTCTCTGGTGCTATCAAATTCTATTTATGGTTCAACAATTTTTTATTACTTCCAGCATCCATATGTAACTTTGCATTTCATTTACGTATCTTGACTTTGCTAAATGCTTAACAATTTTTCAAGAACTTGTATATGTTATCCAACTAATGTGCCAAATATGCCTCAAAAGAGACCAATCCATACTTTATGCCACTGAATCATACTGAATACTGTCAAAATGTCATGTATTTGCTGTGCATTCAGGCGTTTTACACATAAACTGCAACGTCACTCGTATGTTATGAAGCTGAGTCAGAAAGACCCTGTTAACAAAGATCGTTTGTTTAACATTTGTGCGGTTTCTAGGTTAGGTTTTCTATCTGGCAACCTGACTGCACGGCAACCACATGGTTTTGTCAATATTTAGATCGAATTTGTATGGAAAGTTCTTCATACCATAGCCTTGCCATAACATTTGTCTGTTATCCGGCAGATTCGGTCCATAAATTTCTTACATTCAAACTACGATCTTTGTCTATGATTAATTACAATTTGTTATAATTTTCAGCATTGACATCTGACTTTTCACCGCACAGCATCTTAAAGCGTTCGTTCTTTGACATTCAATGCAAAGGCGTGTACGACAAAGGAATCTTCGCTCGTCTCGATAGAATATGTGAGGATTGCTACAATTTATTCAGAGAACCACAACTCCATGCCCTTTGCAAGTAAGTAATAATAAAAAAAAATTCGACCATAGATTTGCTACCTAAATTTAGTGAAAGACTAAAAAAAAATTGGATGATTTAGGAAAAGTCCTTTTGAATGAATTGAAGAAAGTACAACAGAGGAATCAACCTAATTCATATGATAATATAAACTTAATTGGTGCTTTACTAGTATACCAAAAATCAAGCACCACTGTTTAACTCTTTTAAATCTAGTTTCCTAGTTGTTTACCAAATCTATTTCATTTGCTTCATTAAAAGAAGTTTTGAAATAGAGAAAATATGATAATAATCATTAGGAGAAATCCATAAATTAACAAGACATGTAATTAGAAGTATTTCTATCAGAAATTTACTATATAATTTTGATGAATTTTAATAATACATGATATATTTCTTAAGTTTTAAAAATGCTTTTAATCCCATTTAGTTTACGAGGACTTAAGGTAGTTCAATGATTCACGCAAAAGCTTACATTAACAAAAAAATATTTAATTTAGGTTTTTATGGCAAGAGAAATGAAAATATTGCATTATAAAATGCAGTAACTTGAAAATGATGTACACCCATACCTCATTTTGAGTCGATTTAAGTTCCTAAACAATGCAAATTGAAACGACGCAATGTAAATTATGATTTTTTACATCAAAGCAAGTAAAGTAAAAAATAATATAACATTTCATTATATTAATACAAAAATCATTTAATAATATTTAAAAAATAAAGATTAAAATACAACACATATTAAGTTTGTCTATAGGAAAGCACCTAAAGATTGAAGTTAGGTATCAAATTCACGAAGATGCCTGTTTTTGTGAAAAAAAATGAACAAAGTAAGCGTTTCAAAGCACAAAATAAATATACAATTTTAATCCTTGCATACAAGACACAAAAAAGTATTAAATTCAAATAGACTGTTCAAATAATTTCTGGAGAACAACTTCTAATATAATCACTGGTTAGACTCTAACCAGTGATTATATAGAAGTTGTTCTCTCTAACCGTTAGAGACTGTTGTCATACAAATTGATCCAAATATTTTTCCAACAGTTTCTTTTTAAACGTAAAATGAACTTACTTTGTTATAAGTGATATTTCTGCAAGCAGAATTGTTTTTTTTTTAATTTGCATAGTTCCATCAATCAAATACATGTACTAACTAGTGGTGCATGGCACCATGCCTTAAGTCAAATTGCTGGAACTTCCCATACCGAAAACTAAATTATTAAAAAAAAACTTTTGACACTTTTTGCTCCGTATCTCAGAAACTGTCATACCTGCCTTTGATCAGCATGTCTGCTTATCAGTAGGAATCGAATGTTTCTTGAATTATTCAAATCGGTTAAATCGTGTTTGCAAAATCGTCGACGAAAATTTGTAACCGCATACACACACATACATCCATTTTTTCTAAGGCATGCAAAAATGTTCAGAAACCTTTGAAACGTAAAGATATATAAAAAATTTCATTTTCGATTTTTTTGCGATTACTATAACTTACCCTACGGGGTAAAATAATTTGTTCGACTTAAAACAGCCAACCTAGATAATCAGGCAGTGAAAATTAGGTACTTTTTAAGTAGGGAACCAATTTCAAAGTGAGTTGTTGGTGTACAAAAATTTGCAATACCTCCGTATTCCTTTTGACTTTATAACATTGTATAAGATAGCTTTAATTTAGTGATATTTGAACAGGAAAGAATGTTTCACAACGGATTACTTCAAAGGATGCATGGAGTCACTTCAACTCAACGATGAGATCGAATTGATACAAACGTACATTAAGCAATTGCACGGAGCAGAGCCGGACTTCTAAGACACGTTCAAAATACTAATTCAAATGTGTCCGAAACCAGATTCCAAGAAAATATTATTTACACATCATCACAATCAATACAAACTCTCATCATCATACAATACCAAAACAATGAACGAAGGACATCAGTATTGTTTTCTTTATAAGTTTGTATTATTTTTATTATTATTATTTTTAGTTATAGTTACACTTATTATTATATTTCTGTAGTAAACTAGTATTTTTAAGTTTGATCCATTTTAATGGATTTTTTTAAATTATAACAACAATTTTTGATTTTGATGCCACATAATTTATTACTAACACTACCACTTTTTTGTGGTAATCTATTTTTTTAAATTTCGTCGATTTTTATGCAGTTTTACTTATTAGTCCAGTCAATTAAGCTTAAATTAGGTAAGAATCTCGGAATTCAAGATACCCAGCTGCAAGTCTTTTAATACTTGTATATTGACACACTAAAGTTTTCTCAAAACCTACATATGATATGGTCAATACCATATGTAGGTTTTGAGACAACTTTTAGGTGTCAATATACAAGTATTTACAGACTTACAGCTGGGTATCTCGAATTCCGAGGTGAACTTACTACAATAACTGGTCTATATACATTTTTTTTTAATTTTATTAGCACAATACTTCATCATAAATTAATATTATTTTTACTTTTATTTTTTTAAATTTTAATTACACTTATGTTTAAAATAGTGTTATTTTATATGGTGCTAACTTTGTTTTTGTGAAAATTTTTTTTATACAATTTTACTTTTTTACCACTCACGTTTTTTTTTAAATTTTATTACTTTTTGATTTTGTTGCACACGATTTTTTTACAAAATCACAAATTTTGTTTTTTTTAAAAATAATTTTGTGTTTTTAGTATTTTTGACTAACGCACTGAGAAGAATTTTTAGAGCTAATAATATTTTTTCAGCTCATATTTTTGGAGACTGCTGCAATGCACAGAGATTGCACTTTTTTACCTATTTTTGCATGTAGTTTTTAGAAAAAAAGTTCAAAAATTTAAGGCATTTTTTAAAACTCTGAAACTTCAAATAACAAATCAATATAAAAAATATTTTCAGAACTATGTAGTCTGATCATAATGCTAGATTTTCAAAATTTGTTCTTTGTTTTTTAATTCCCCAAAAATTATTTCTCTTAAGCTTGAAATTCAACCAATTTTCTACTGAGATCGACATATAAACTCGTCATGAAGAAGTGCCAGATTTTTGCATATAGACGAGTATACTCGTCATGGAAAAGTAGCAGAATTTTGTATAATGACAATACGCATAAATCTATTGTCCATTTTGGCCAATTGGCCTATTTAAAATTAAAACCTACTTGGCTATTGTCTATTCGGATGGCATTTGTTTTGATCATATACTCAAATTTTAATAAATTTACAACATTTATGAAATAACTAGTGGTGTATGGCATCGTGCTTTAAGGCAAATTGCTGGAACTTCCCGTACCGTAACGAAATGTTCGAGGAATATTAAATGTTTTCAAACAGATTATTTTGAATTATGTAATATCGTCTAATATTTATAAGAATTATATAAACTGAATTACAAAATTTAAAATTATTTACTTAAAGTTTATCAGTGAGCTTTAGAACTTTAACCAGAATTAAAATTCAAATATTCAAAAAAAAAATTTTAAAACGAATTTTTTTTCCAAAAGTAATTATTTCATCAACACAAGCAGAAAGTTCTTCGAATCATTCAAATCGGATGATTATTTCTCTCAAAAACTGCCATTTTTTATACATTTAACTCTGTATCTTCTAAATGACTAGACCTGCATTTGCCAAAAACTAATCACCACTTCTCCCAATCATTACAAATCGAATGTATTTTAGATCATTCAAATCAGATGCTCGTTCTCTCAAAAACTCGATTTCTATTTTCTGCACTCTTTGCTCCGTATCTCCGTAACGGCTGGACCTGCCTTTGCCGAAAGCTAATCAGCACATTTCCCTATCAATAGGAATCGAATGTTTTTTGAACCATTCAAATCGGTTAATCCGTGCGCCCGAAAACGTGGATAAAAAATTGTATCCATACATACATAAACACACACACATCGATTTTTTCTGAGGTATGCCAAAATGTTCAGAAACCTTCAAAATGTGGAAAATGCAAAAATTTTCATTTTCAAAAAAAAAATTCTACGGGAAGTTGAATAGTTGTATGTGGCTTACCTCAAAACAAAATTTTCCTCGATTTTTTGCGACGACACAAAAGTGTGCGCACCACAGTTAACTGGTTAAGTTATATTAGTACCAGCATTTCTTCAATTCTAATCTTCAAAGTATCTGAAAAAGAAAATGACTAGAGTTAATAAAATTATTTCCATAACGTTAAAAATAAAATCATTTGAATTATTTATTGTGTGTCAGACTACAAAAATATATGGTTTGCAGTAAGATTTTTAAAAGATGCCTTCAAGAAATTTTTATCAGGACCTTTTTCAAGGAAATTATATTGTCTATTATATATTAATTGTATTTTTATTAATTAGATCGAACTGTTTCGGGAGTGGCTTTTTCAAAGGATGCCTGGAAGCTTTGATGCTGACGGAGGAAGACGAAAGATTTTCAAAAATGGTGCAATACGTTGGGAAGAAAAAATAAGTTTAAGAAAAAGATATTCAAATGCAACAACTAAAAATACTCACGGACATGTCACTATTAAAATACACAAAAATCGGACCAAGTCTTTTTTTTTTAATTTAAATTTAACTTTATAGAATAGTGCAATCTTGTACAGTCGTCGAGGAATATTTGTTATTGTCTTAATAGTTCAATTCATGCTGTCAACCAAGTTCAATTTGTTTAATAATTTACTAAGTTATATAATGTATCTTTCGAGTATTTTAAATTTAAATGAGATATTTATAGTGCCATGCTGCCGTTTTGTATCGTTGTAATTTGCATTCAAAATTCTAGTCGCTTTGTGGTTATATCTATATATTTATCATATTAACTAAAATTAATATTTAATTAAATCATATTAGTGCAAAAGCTTCAACATAATTGACCTGGTAAATTTCATAATATTTTTGATAAAATCAACGCTAAAATATGCATAAAAATATACCTATAACCACTAATTTACAAAACATATGTATATTTAAAAAATTTAAATTAAAGTATCTATTTATATTATTTTAAAACTAATGCCACAGTAACAAATTTAATTGTGGTCATTTATTAACATCATTTAAAATAAATTCATTCATTTAATCATGATTTGAACAATTCACTTCGCTATAAATTATTTATTATCAAGTATTTAATGAGAACTATTTATAAGCATAAGAAATTTTCCGTGCATTTACTAAGAAGAAAATAATCAGTAAATTATTATTTTTATATAACATTTTTTAGTGATTAATTACAAATTATATTTATTGATTTATGATTTTAATAAAAAATATTTTTTCTAAATTTTATGCAGTATTCGATTATATTATTATTCACATTTTGAATCTTTTATGATCAGTAAGTCCACTCCGCGTATTGTGTAAATATGTTGTATTATATTTTTTATTAATCTTTTAGATTAGTTTTAATAATATTTATTTAGATAGAGAATATATTATCATAAAATATTAAATAAATTTATGTAAATCTTCATATTAAACTAACAAAACGGTTCTCTCTCCTATCACAATGCTACTAAGCCAGTAATGCCTCCTATCGTAGGCAATACAACTAGTCTATATATTTTACAAAATTCAGTTTTTTTTAAATAAAGATGCAAAAATATAATTTTATTCATTATTATTTGTCAGATAATAAAATATCTTCCAAACGAAAATTTTGTATTTTAAAAGGCAATCATGTAAGATAATTTAAAATGAAAATTTCGCCACTGTACTATCTCATCTATTTTAAATGCACAGAATTACGATTTATTATAAAAACGTTATTTTATTATATTTATTTGCATAAGGTTTTTGTAATATTATTTATTATTAGCATTCCACTTAATCAGTATTTTGTATAAAGTTTACAAATAGACGAAAATATTTGTATTGATCAGAAAGTTATGTATTACTATTAAATACTGGAAATATATACAACAATGGATGGTAGAGCATGTACTGATGTTTTATTTGAAAAAAAAAAAAAAAACTATTTAAAATATAATGCAAAAATTTACTCGGTTCAGCGCTGTTAACAACTGGAGAAATAATAAAGGCGATTGGCTGAGCCGTTTCTTTATAATTGACAAAAAAGTGCAAAAGGTACGCCGCCGCTTTAGCCAAAAATCATTAACCATTTTTTCCTTAATTAAAAAAAAACTAGTGGGGTGCATGGCATCGTGCCTTAGAGCAAATTGCTGGAACTTCCCGTACCGTAATTAAAATTTACACAAAAATGTGTACACATTATTAAAATCTATGAAATATCTAATAATTTGATGTACATATGTCCAATAACCATTTTTGACTGCCAAATGGCATTTTTTTAACTTATTTTTATTGAGAGTCCGTAGCCGCTGGACTTCTTCATCTTCTCAATACAATTAAAATGCTTTTTAAATTATTAAAATCGGACAAACCGTTCTCTTAAGAACCGAGTTACCGTTTTTGGCACTTTTTGCCCCGTATCTTCGGAACGGCTAGATCTGCCTCCCACAAAAACTAATCAGCACGTCTCCATATCAACACGAATCGAATGTTTTTTGAATTATTCAAATCGGTTGATCGGTGTTCCCAAAATCGTCGACGAAAATTTGTATCCGCACACTCATACACACACACACACATACATCAATTTTTTCTAAGGTATGCCAAAATGTTCAGAAACCTTTGAAACGTAAATATATATAAAAAAAATTTATTTTCGATTTTTTTGCGATTACTATAACTTACTCTAAGGGAAGTTAATTAAGCCATTTTTCACTTAATTGTTAAAAAAAATACATGATTGATGAAACTTTGTCTGGTGATCTTAACAATAATCCTAAAAAATTATAGGCCGTCTAAAAGTGGCTTAATTCATTTAAATTTAGAATAATGGACGGGATTAAATCACTCAAATTACTATGTTGTGGTATTATATATATTTAAAAATTCATGGATATATACTTCAAATTTTTTATAAATTTTATAAATATTATAAATATTCAAAGATATATATCCATTTTTTAAAAGCTTTTGCCGTTTTATTTTTATGTAATATTCAAAGATATCTATCTACAAAGTTTTTGCCATCCTTCCAATTTCAAAAATAGATAGAAAAAGTATGATCTTCTTTCATTCGAGCCTTAAAGAATTACAACTGCCTCCAAATCGCCTACTGATACGGCTTGATTCAATCCCTTCCTACCAAGGTAGTTAGATTTAGGTCCTTCCTTGAATTTCAGTTTGTTTTATAGTGATAGTTACACAATACATTTGTTTTAAGACATTCCTCGTGTTTAAAATTTTCTCAGACGGATTAAAAATTGAATTGTCTTTAAAATAAAAAAAATATGATCAATCACAAATAACAAAACATCATTACTCTATTGTTCTTATTCTCTTCAAAACCAAGGCCAATTTCTCTGCATGAAATTGAATTTTGAAAAACGAAAGAAAAGTAAATTTCCCTCTTAAAGTAAGTAGTAATTTTCCTTCTTAATGAAAAACCCTAAAATATCATTAAATACATGAAATTTGAAAAACAGCTTTTGAAGATACGTGTAAAATCATACTGAAGGAACAGATTATAGACAGTGAAAAAGAAAAAAGGAACAAGAATATATATATAATCAATTATAATATATTTAATATAATTTATCTACAGAAATATCTCACATACATGAAATCATTTTATGTTACATAACTAGATTTTCAATGCATGTGTTCTAAGTGGTAATTGCAATTATGCAATTTTCTGTATTTATATATTTATAAAGATATTTTATATGCTGCATATTGTAGATTAATTAAATATATGTATTATTGATTTTAAAAGTACACAAACACTCTCATTAAGTCTGTCATACCAAATTATCAAAAAAGTCTTTTCCAACTTTCAAAAAAAAGCAATATTACTCTCATAATTATTTCCAGCCATCAAATAATTTATACGAAAGAATAAAAGTCAAGAATATAAAGAATTAGATAAAACAGTGCAGCATTTGACAAATTCATATAAAAACAAAGATAAAAATATATAATATTTCTTAATTACCTCTAATACTAAATGATAATTTTGATGTTAGCTGATTTAAGATTACATTCACACTTGAGCATTGAGACAACGTTCAACATGATTCTCAAGTGCCTGAATTGTGTAAAACGCAAACTGGCATATAGGGCATGGATAAACCATCTGAAACTAACAAAAATAACATGAAAAAATGATTAATAAATATTAAGTATGTAAAAATAATTAACTTTTGCAATAGAAAATTATCATTCCTAATTCCTAGATAAGTTATAAAGTTTACACTCTGTTATTAAACATGTCAAGCACATATGTATATTAAAATAATTTGAACCTACTTCGTTATAGTTCAAACTACTTCCCCGCAGTCTTCTACATGTCTCTGGAGGGTGTGATAATTTTTAAACTGATTGAAGCACATTGGACAACTATAAGAACTAGAGTTTGACGGTGACATAGTTTTATTGTCCTGTGTTTGAAAATAAAATATTTTGTATAGAAACATAAATGTTAAATAAAATAAAATGAGATGAAACAACATTCACAAAAATGTTTAACTAATTCAGCATGCTTCTGTGGTTTTTCATGCTAGTCAAGATTGAAAATGAACACTTATTTTAATCATGTAATTCACGATGGTATTAGATACAGATTGATTTCAGTGTTTTAAGTGCTTTTATTCTAGATGGCTTTTATTCAGCAAGGCGTTATTTGCATTATACTATCTCCCATAATATAATCAAACAAAATTCAAATTTAAACTATAAATCAATAATTATTAATGAAAAATTGTGAGCATGTGTGAACACCCATAAATGAAAAAAATGTTAAATTAGTTTTGTGACAATGAGCAATTTCCAGAATAATTTTCATTTTCATAAAGGATACAATACATATGTGCATAACATGTTAATTGTAAAACATTAAAATTTTATTTAAAGCTATTGTAAGCTATCTCACCTGTGTGGAGGAAGAAGAATTGTCATTTGGAGGTGCAGTAGGTGCAGCAGTTGATCTGAAAAATATTACCACTCTCAAAAAAAGAACAAAGAAATGTTACAACACAAAAATATCAGATTGAACATTAACTTATTTTGCTCTGCTATATTTTTCAAGCGCTGTAGAAGTTCTTCATTACGTTGCTGAAGCTTACGTAAGTCAGAAACAGCATTGTCTTTTTCTCCAGCCAATGTTGCTCTAGCTTTTCTTTCAGTTTCAAAGTCTTCTTTGTAAATATCCAACTAAAATCAAACATAAATAGATTAAAACCTTTCAATTAACAAAAAATCTTCCCATAATCAGTTTAAAAATATTCTCTGAATAAACCTGTTGTTTTAAAACATCAATTTCAGGTTGATCCTTCTTTAAGTTATCTATTTCTTCTTGCTTTTTAAGTATTTCATCACTTTTCAATTGAAGAAGTTCGTCTTTTTTCAACATGTCAGCATTCTGAAAATTTATGCAAAATAGAATTGATCTACTTATAAACTTATGCATAAATTTCAATTAAAATAATTAATTTTAACCAATTTACCATTTTCTCAATTTCTTTTTGATGAACATCTTCATTAAGTTTATTTGCAGTATTAATAGACTCCATTTCTTTTAATAAATTATTATATTCATTATATATTGTTTGGAAATTTGATTGAGCAGTTTTGAGGAGAATCCTAAAATAAATTACAGTAAGGAAATGTTATTACAAACAACAAACTTATATATAAACTGACCATTCTTTTGAAAGACTTTCACATAATTCATTGGAAACTGTTGTAATTCCTTCAGTTTCGTCTCAACTTGTTGTACAGATGTAATATTTTCAGGCTGAACATCTTTCAGTATGTACTGTAGCATATTCATCTGAAAAATAAATAAATAGCATAACTTATTAAATATGTAACATATGTACTGCAAGAATACATAGGGAAAATTCTTATTTACCTTTTGCAATGTGCATTATACCCAATTTTATTATATCTTGCAAATGTTTTT